CCCGCCCCAGAGTGGCAAGCCATTTGCAATGACCTCGATTCGGCGGTCATCTTGTCGGCGGGGTGCGACATTAAGGTCCCGCACCAAAACGTTGGTTGCAACAGCAGCACCAGCTTCACGGCAGACACGGGCGGCAGCACGCTCGAGTGGGGCACCTCTGGCACGTAACACTCCGGAGCGGGGGCATGCAGCGAGGTGATCCCCTAACACGTCGTGGCGACGTCTGCAGCGACAGTACGCGGCAGTCAACGGCAAAGGCGCGCAGCAGCAACACTCGGAAGTGCGAAGGTGAGGGTCGCTTAGCAAGGACATGTAAGGCGCACACTTTGAAGTTGCTGTGCGCACTCGGTTCCCTTTGCGAACAACGTGTACTGCACAATATTTCAAATTGCTGCGCGCGCACGCGGGTCCCTTTACGAACGACTTCAAATTGCGGGGCGCGCGGCTCCCCCAGCGAGCAACGTGTAATGCACAGTCTTTGAAGTTGTTGCCTTCGCGGTTCCCTTGACGAAAGAAGTGCAATGCACTACCAACTGTCAAAAAGGCGAGCATGCAAAGTTCCCGTGACGAACGACGTGTAACGCCCAATCTCGCAAACTGCTTGACGAGCAGTTGCTGCGTTTGCGGTTCCTTCACGAAGGAAGTCTAAGGCACAATCGTTTGACTTGCTGCGCACGCGCTTCCCTTGGTGAGCGACGCGTGAGGCACAAGCGCGGTTCCCGCGACGACCGACGTGCATTGAAGTGCACAATCGATCCTTTTTTTTTTCGATCCTGCCCGCGCGTTTTCTTTGGCGAACAACGTGTAATGCCCAATATTTCAATCCTGCCTGCATGCGCTTCCCGTGACAAGCTACGTGCACATGCACTACGCGAATTCATCATGTGGGAAGGCAGCTCCGCCTCAAAGCTGCTCAGACTCGTGTGTGGAACAGCAGTGGCGTCCTCCCGGCGTCGCGCACGGTACACGCTCTGCGCCGTATACTTGTTGAGGATACGCGAGCCACAGGGAGGTCCTACCATGAACTGCATCAAAAGACGTCGTACATACCATGATACAGTTTTGGTGTGTTGTTTCATTGTTCGATTGGCCGCGGCTCGGCTCGAGCCGAGAAGGGATGGCGTCCAGAACGGGCGGATTGGAAACAGGAGTTGCGGGCAGCTGTTATGCAGTTTCTTTGTGTTGTTGTGCATTTCCTATGTCCAGTTGGATTTGTCTGAGTTTTGTACACTTTGCCCACGGATGTGGGTCTAGGAACTGGCATTTATAAGTTGCGGCTCATCACGTTCATGTTTGCATACACAGCTGACTCAAAGAAACAATGGTGCAGCAGGTGTGACAGCTCGCGGGCTAGGACAAGCCAGCTCGGAAGCCTCGGATGGAGCCGCCCACACCGGTAAGCGCACCTTGAAATACGAGCAGCAGCAGCAGCAGCAGCAGCAGCAGCAGCAGCAGCAGCGAGCTTACGGCAGCGACGGGCTGGCTGCGAGCACGCTGGCGCAACAATCCACGACGAGCACCAGGGACCCCAGCCCGCGGGGTAGTAGGTTGGCACGCCGCCTGCGCAGGTCAGGGTCGCGTGGAATAACGCCTCCGGCAGGTGGGGTGAGGTTGAGCTAACCACTTGACAGCCGAAATGGCTTGAGCCAAAATGCGTGAGCCAAAATGGCTACGGTTATACGGGAGCAGCACTTCGGCCCGAGCCTACACGGGGCAGTGCCGTTCTCCTACTAGTCGTAGGACGCCAATCGGGCCATGGGCACTTATCAGGAAATGAAAAGCGATATTTATCTTCTGGGCTTGAACAATTGGAGTGGAAGCGCTTACTTTTGCATGCTCAACAGGTGTCACCTCTGTTGGTGGGTCAAACACACAACTTCGCAGTTCAGCCTGTGGGTGAGCCCGTCTTCAAGCAGCAACAAGTTTGGGTTAGGGCTGATGTTCTTCCTGGCCCCGATCGGACCAGCTATGACATTATTCAGGAAGCCTCAACTCGAAGGGTTCTTCTTCAGATGCGCAGTGCAGACTGGCCTATGATCAGCAACGCCAGCGGCACGCTCAAGGTGTTGCAGGCCACGCTTCGTGTGCAGGATTCTGATTTCATCCTTGATTGCACGGACCTGAATACAGTCTTGGTCGTGGCATGCCCGACGCGGTCGGACACGTCTCTTCGGGTTGCAGAGTTTTTCTGCGGTGGTTTTGCAGGTTGGTCCCATTCTTGATGCATGAGAATGGGGTACCGTTGCACATGTCTTGGACAATCGATGTCGATCCGGATTGTTGTGACATGCTGTCATGTCAGCAGCATGGCGGGCGCGAAGTCACTTGTCTACAGGAGCTCAATGACCTCCCCGACAAAGGCCCCTTTCATCTCAGTGCAGATATCAACTGGGCATGGTGGCTTAGAGCATTTCTGCACAGCCCTATCGAGGTTGCTTGTGTTTCCCCTCCTTCCCAGCCCGGGTGCTTTTCAGATACCATTGGTCCTGTTCAAGCAGGTTGCAAATGTTCCACAGCACCCACACTTTGACTTCGTCATGGCGGCATGGAAGGATGCAGGGTATAAGCTTCTTTGGCAAGCTACTCTTGACTTGGTTGATGTTTTGCCCGGCCACAGGAATCGTTTCTTGCTGGTGCTGGGCCATCAAAGCATGCAGAAACTTACCCCGATCACAGTCGGTGCATGGCATACACAGCGTCGCCTGAACTTAGGCATGGCCAAAATACCTATGCCTTTGCCCCCCAGCTTGAAGCAGGCCAACACACCGGACTCTGCAACTTTAGCCATGTACATGGACCCTTATTACATGCCAAGTCCCAGGTGCGCAGGCCTCCGCCCGCAACGACCAGAGGTGTTTCGACTCAGGAGGGCCACTGATGTGGCCACTACTTTCATGGCGCAGTATCAGTTCCAGCACCTTTTGCCACCCCACATTTTGCAAAAAGGGATTATGGGTACTTTGATTCTTCATGAAGGCATCGTCCGGTTCTTTTCGGGCCCGGAAATTGCTGCGGCGCACGGTGCCGTCCGGCCCATACATCTGAGTCAAGACCATAGGGTGCAAATGAAGCTCCTCGGCAATTCCATCGCAGTCCCGCACGCATTGGTCCCCCTCACGGTTGCGTGTTTGGCTGCACAGTTGCCTCATGCGCCTGAGCCTGCCCAGGCCATACATTGGTGTATGCAGGCGCGCATGCACAATCAAAACACGGTACTGATACCGTTGGGGGCCGATTGGGTTTTCTGCCACAGCACTCAGGTCTCTACAGTTCTTGCCTCTCTAGGACCCCGCCTGGCCGCATTGGTTGATGATCCAATCCCTGAGGCTTTTGTTCGGGTCAGGTCAAGCCTCCCGGACGGCTCTGTCAGTCTTTATGCACCACCAGACATCCCGCCTCAGGAGCTTTTCGTTCTTCTGGGCTGTCCAGCAGCCGCTGCACAGCTACCGCCAGAGCTGGCCAACCATGTGCAGGCCATGGACATTCCCTTGCATTCTGCGCCACAGCTTAACATAGGGGGTTTCATTGGAAGTTGCGGGTCCCGGGATGGGTTGGGGCTTGTCCTCACTGACTGCGGCGTCTTTGCCCTGGAGTTGTTGACGCCATGCTCCTGGTCTCAGCTGTTGCGTGTTTTCCGTGAAATCGAGCCCGGGCCGGGCGAGCTGGCAATTTTCTCGGTGTGCGGGCAACGCTTACACTGCACAGACCATTTCACGGATTGTATGGTTGCGTCGCCGGAGTCAGAGGACTTGCCGATTCAGTCCCTTGCGGCTTTTGCGCCCCACCTTGCTGCCCTCTCATTGTCACAGTGCTCCGGAGGGTTGCAGTTTACTGTTCAGGAGGCCGCCGTCATGGATTGCTGGCTGTGCATGCCCTTCCACCTCATAGGTGCGCTCGGGTGGGACTGCCACCAGACGTTCCCCACCATGGGCGGGTCTTTCATCCTACAGGTTGACATGCAGCCCAAACCACAAGCTTTGCACATGCCCGTTGACATCATGAGAGATACTTGGCGCATCTGGTGCTTTGTAGCCCAGCTTGCTTTCTTCAGCAGCTGCAGGCATTGAGGTCGAGGTCCAACTCGTTGCTCGCCGTCTTTGGGCCGGCCGCTTGCCAGGTACCACTACATTAAGCCTCGTTTCCCAGTGGTGGCACAAAGCTTCTGATGTGTGCCATTTGCTGGCCGGCCACCGCGTCTTCTCTGGTCCGCACGCTCATGACGAGCGCACCACCCTGGAGGAGATCAAACAGGATCCAAAAACCTGTGTGCTGCGCCGTTCTGGCCGTCTCCTCATCACGATCCATCCCGAGGTCAGAGGCGGAGGTGCCAAGACAGAGGCCAGTAATTGGGCCAAAACCCGTGCGGCTTCCCTTTGCCTGGCCCACGGAGTGGATTTGTCGGCCACGACCACTTTCGTGGACCAACTTGCTGCCGCTGCGGGCATTCAACGCCTTTCCATGACATTGCAAGAAGGCCCTGCTGACGGGCGCTGGGAGGCTTTGCTTGAACTGGCCAAACGCTCGGATGTTGCTGCGCCTGCCGTGAAGAATCTTCAGACAAAGGCCGAGAACCGTGAGCGACAGGCGCAACAGCGCAAGCAGAGGCACAACCGCATGCACATTTCTGCGTCTGAGGTGCAAATCAACCCAGGGTTTTTCCTCAGCGAGGATGGTTCCAGCACGAACATCCTTTCCACTATGCAGCCGGGTGTCTCGGGCATCAAACTGGTGGAAGAATCGGAGGCCATCGGCCTACTACAAGCCCTCCGCGGGGTTCAACCAGACGAGTTGGGATTGTTGGTCTTAGGCCATTCTTGCCCTGCCCCGGATGAGTGCAATGGCCACTTGACTTTTCCCGCTACTTCAGTAGCATGTGGCTCCAAGCTGCTTTTGGCAGGATGCTTGCACAACGTCGGCGGTCGCCGGATCCGCACACAGGTTGCCGACGGCATGCGTGTCGAGTTGCCGCATCAATGCTGCTGCACCGTTGATTGTTTTGCGGATGAGCTTGACCAGGATACCTGGGGTTCGCTGCTGAATGCCCCCGTTCGCAGTGCTGTTGATGCCTTCAAAAAGCAAGGTGTGGAGGCACCTTTCACAGATCCGTGGGGCCGTTTCTTCAGCCTTGCCAACAAGCCGTCCTTGCCTGCCCTGGCTGATAGACTGTCGTTCCAGGCCCGCATCGCGCAGGATGAATTGGATGCCCTGCTTGCCGCCAGCGGCCACAACCATTTTTACGTGACCCCACGGGCCATGGACCGCAGCATACTGACGTCATACGCCATCATTTGGATTGGCGGTTGCAGAGCTGAGGCCTTGCGTGCCTCGCTTCAGGTGCCGGGACAATTGGGATTGGCCAGGGTTAAGAGTAGGTACGGTCTGCGCATTGCGGAGGCGCGCTTCGCAGAGGTCTTTGCACAGCTGCGGCTAGGCCAAATGGTACCTACGAAAGTCCAGGTCTCCAAAATGTTTCGCCTGGGCCCGTTGCCGCCTGAAGCTGGAGCCACAGAGATTGTTACCTGGGCAGGAAAAGCAGCGTGGAACGTAAAGGTGATTAAAAGCCTGGGAGCTCGACATTGGCTCTTGGGTGCCGCACAGGAACCCCCAGCTGCCTTTACTTCGTTCAACGGTCAGGCTGTGCTCATTGAGCCACTCAACCGCCGTGAAACGGCACTGCCAGTCGTGCAAGCAGGAACAAGGCTTGCCGTGCAAACCACTCGAACAGTTTCGCGAGCGGTGCCTCGGTTCAATCTTTGCCATCCACCAGTAGCAGCCGTCAGCTCACTGGTCCGACGGAGCAGCGCTTTTTGCAACAAGAGTCCCGCCTGCAGGTGTTGGAAGAGGGCCTCGAGGCCCTTCGTGTGTGCCAGGAAACCAACCACCAGGAATTGCTCCACCAACAGTCTGCTGACAGAGAGCGTGCAGCCTCCACCAGCCTCCAAATCCAGGAACAGATGAGTCTCATGAGTGCCGAATTCTCCAAGCAGCTGCGCCTTTCCACAGAGTCTCTTCAAGGCTCGCAAATGCAACAACAAACACAGATGCAGAGTAGCTTGGACGAGCTGAAGTGCTTGATGCTGTCCTGCCGTGAGACCAGAGATGGGGCCAAGAAGGCCAAAACACAACCCGATAGTGATCTTTGACTGAAGGGTCTTGCAGGACGCAGCTGCAGTTTTTTCAAGGGGCTTTTGCCGTGCCTCTTTACCTTTACTGAGGCTCCGGCAAGTGTGGACAATGTGCTTATTGTCCCTAGTTGTTTATGGTTGCTGCCGCAACTTTCGCTGCTGCCCGGACTGGGGGTACAACGTCCTGGCTTTTCTTTGTCACATGCCGACCTGGGTGCACAAACTGTCGTTCCGCCCGAAGTGGTATTCGATGGCCTTCGGCTTGCTTCGTTCAATCTGTGTTCTACTCCACCTATGCCTTTCGGAGTGCTCTCCGACCTTGAGCGCCTCCCGTGGACGTGGGTACAAAACAACACCGCGCCCCAGGATGCAATTCGTTTTCTGCAAACCATACTTGCGCCAATAGAGTGCAAACCATGTGATTGGGTGCCTGCACCAGCCGCTCAGCAGAGCTCACGATGGCTACAGTGGGGGCAGGTTGCTTACGCTCCTCGATTTGGCTCCTGGATTTGGGCCCGCAGTGGGGGGCAGGTTGCTTACGCTCCTCGATTTGGGCCCCGCTTTCTCGCCTGCCTGCCACAATCGCCATTGTGCCCCTCTGCATATGCTCGGCTTTGTTCCTGTGCAGACTGTGCCTTCTCAGTTCCCCGGAGTGGGCTTTCATGCGGGATTCCCTCGGCAAGGCCCGAGGCACATGTTGTGCTCCCCACCCGCGTTCTTTCGGCAACTGCATGTCTGCATTGGTTTTTTGCTCCTGGCCGTCCCTTGTGGATCGGGCCACAATCTGGTGTTAGTGTTCTCTTTGGCACTGCCGTTTTACACAGGTTCGCCGCCCTTTCTCTCGTTCCTTTGCCCGGTCAAAACCACGGATTTTGTGGCCATTCGTGCCGGGCCACGACAAGCACCACTACCAGCCTTTTTCAAAAGCCCTGCACTCCAAG